CCCCTCTGAGTGTAAATAACGTGGATCGAAGGCACAATCCTAATGCCTTCATAATTTCGTCGGGATTTAAAGGACAACGATCACTGAGTTCGTCGCCAGCACAAAGTAAATTATAAATACTTATAATTTACTTTGTGTTTTATGACTGTTCCACCCACCCACACACACACACACATACACACACACCATTGTATCCTGTATATACTGCATATACACATATATTTTAACAAAAGTAGACAAATTTTGAAAGTCTGAGGTCAAAAAAGTTTTTGATCATAGTTCATACAATTTTTGTTTTGTTTCGTTCAGTATACCTATTGATTCATATTTAACAACAAGAGATGTACTTTTATATAAACACACAATTCTATTTATTTACGGGTTTATTTATTATACATACTGATAACTGTTGCATGACTCATGATTGGACAAAATTTTAAAAAACAAGGTGTCCCTTTTATATATAAACCTTTGTTATGTTAATTTCGATTAATTTCCCTGAAGAAGTTCGGACGAGAGTGTCGAACTCAGGAAACGTTGGAATTAATCATTTCAATTTCGCTGAGATTTTACAAATATAACTTTATAAATGTCTACTTCTCACTCAGCGCTCAATTATTTTGCATCTATCCGGTCAAATCTTGATCACAGTTCGTATGAATTACAATTTTTAGCTTGAGTTACCACTAACTTATATACTATCAAACTATGAAAATAATTGGGGGGTGAGAGAAGACAGAAAAGTCATATAAACTGTGTTATCTTGTAAGTCAACATGTCAACTCAAGAGGGTTAAAGTTCATCAAATTGGAAAATTTTTTAGTGAGCTGAGCTCACTAGTGTGGATAACTAATCAGGGTGATGAAAGTAATACGGTTACCGAGGTAGTGAGTGAGAGATTGACTACAACCCCTTTCTGTGTGCATAAGTTTGGTCTGAGATGTTTGATTGCAATTGCTTCATCAAATTGTAGTGGATTCGCTGTCCTTTATGAGTTTAATATTTTGAAGGATTTGGAAATCTCGACAAAATGACACGTATCCACAGGGTGGGTGTTTGGTAATTGCACTTTGTAAATATCTGCTTCCTTTTAAGCCTTAGTTTCTCAGAATATGCTCTGAAAACCGGATAGAAGCCCTTCTTTCTGTCCTTCCAATGTACTTACTGTCGCAGGTGTACGTAAATTTGTAAATGCATTTGGAGGTAACATCAACAGTGTACTTATCCAGTTTCGATTGGCTTATAGAACATGTAGTGCTGTGTAGTGTCCCCAGCTTAGTAGCAGGGAAGCATCTCTTTATTGCTCCTTTCATCCTTTTGTCAATCTTTTGTGATACTGCTTCTCTTTTGTACGGGAGGCAAATGAACACTTTCTTCTTTTCAGCTGTTGGATACTTCGCTTGTTCATCTCGTTCTTTGCTGTTTTTTAGGAAAAATCCCTTTGGATACCCGTCTTCTTCAAAGCATTTTTCAACTAAGCTTCATTCTTCTTCTACTTTTGTAGGCGAACATAAATTTCTGGCCCTGTCGTACAGTGTCTTTACTAGTCCCCGCTTACAGGCTATACGGCAGAAGCTATTGTAGTGAAGGTATTGTCCAGTTCAGGTCTCTTTTTCGGTAGAAGGATTTTTCAACCGTCCCATCGTTCCTCATTTTTATATTTAGGTCCAGGAAATTGAACCTACTGGTCAAGAGATATTCCGAAGGGAATGGAGATGGATTAGACACCCTCTGCAGAAACTGTTGGGTGACATTTCTCTCTCTCTCTCCTAAATGGGAAGCGACTAGTGGGTGGTCGGTGAGAGGTTGATATGCGGGAGATCATTTGGGAAGCAGTAGATGACAGACTATAGGGAATCGTGGAGCCATTATGGATAAGATTTTATTTTGATAAATCACTCAGTGTTGGTTATATAGTAATATTAACTGACGGCGTTTCGAGCACAAACTATTGCCACTCATAATCATATCAAGTTACTCACACAACTGTTTTCTTCATTTATATACATGTGTTGAATCGACTAGATATTTAAATAAAAATCAATATGTGATAATGTATATTCAGAAATAATAATATGAGTGTTATTGGTCAAATACAATCAGGTGGTAAATAAGACGAGTGTTGTCTTAGTCGTAATAAATAACTTGTTAGAATGTTGTGATTTGCTTGAATTGAAATAGAATTTTATGATTATTTATTATCCTCTTCTGATGTGACTGGCAGTAAAAATATCTTCCATGTTTCTGGTATTTACATTGTCATTTCTGTTGCATGTGTTGGGTGTAGACTCGTCGAACAAGGATTCAGTAATCAACCTCTTTCTCTACCTACTTTTAATTCTTCGTATAATTTTAATCGTCTCCCACCCTATTGTGTGATTGTGTGTTAATGCATGCAGTACAATGAAGTGCTGAGCTTTTTTCTAGATTACTTATCTTCTCGGGGTCAACCATTCTTGCCTTAGCTAAATTCCTAAGTTTTGACAATCTGACTAGCCTTGACCTACTAGTCTGACCTATGTAGTTGACCTGACTCACAGTCATTGCAGGGTATTTTGTAAATTATATGATTTTGTCTAATTCAGTCAACTGGATCCTTTAACCTACAGAGCTTGTCCTACCTGAGTGAGTTTGTAGGTTTGAATGCCACCACTCTAATTCCTGCTTAATTCAGAATCCTATGTAGGGTCTCAGATGTCCCCTCTTTATATGGTATAACTGTAGATGACTTATATTCTCTCTTTTTTATGTCATTATTAATAGTTTCACCATTATTTGTATTTTTCGTTTGGCCTTTTTCGATCTTCCTAATGAATTTTAAAAGATAATTATTTAACACCAAAGCCTCTTCTATCTGTTTTAGTTCATTATTTAGGTCTTTTTTGTGCTACTTAGTGCTACTGCTCAGTTTGTTAGACACTTAACTTAACTAAGCCTGCCTTGACAGGTAACGGATGAGATGAATTGAAGTCTAAGTATCTATTAGAATGAGTTGGTTTTCTGTACACACTAGTGTGTAGTTTACCACCTTCTATTCGTTTTATTTTAAAATTTAACATCATGGCTAATTTTCCTTGTTCATTTTCCAATTCAAATGTGAATTTTATTCTCTCTCATAGTGAGTTTATATGTTACAGGATTTTCATCATGAGCTGACATTAGTTGGAGAAGCATTGGAACATCTGGGAGTACTGGACAGCTGTTTCGTCCTAGTTTGTGACTCTTCAATAATATGCACCCACAGGGATTCGAACCCAGGAACTTCTTGTTACAATTCAAGCTCGTATACCATTGAGTCATTTGAACGCGGTTCAGTGGCCCATGAATTCTAACTCCTGCCAATTCACGACATAGCGCAACCCCAGCCAATGTCTTCGGCGAGTATATATGTGTCAAGACGCTAGAGACAGATACGTTTTGTTTTTAACACTGTGAAACTGTCATCCATATATCTCCATCATACTTTTACAGTAGGATTAGATTTATTAAGGGCAATATTTTCCCAGTTGTCCATAAATATATCTGCTACGATAGGGGATATTTGTGATCCCATTGCTACACCTTCTGTTTGTCTATATATTTTACCGTGGAATTTAAAGATAGTAGATGTGAGGCATAACTGAATCCCTAAAATAATTTCTTCAATGGACAGCTTTGTCCTATGACTGAGTTCCGGATCCGCAGTTAATTCTTTTTTAACTGCTTCTAAAGCCATATTAACTGGTATATTAGTATAAAGACTAGTTATATCAAAACTAACCATTGTTTCATCATTCGCTAGTTGAATGTCATTTAGTTTACTTTTCATCTCATATGAATTAGTTAGTCTAGAGTTTGAACGATTTCTAATGGGGCATAATATTAGAGCTAAATATTTTGATAATTCATAAGTAGGCGTGTTTCTAAAATCTACTATTGATCGTATGTGGTAACCTGGCTTATGTATTTTAATAGTATCGTATATTCTACTAGCATTATTAGTTTTAGGCATTAAATGAAACCATTTAGACTCACCCAGTGATCGCTTCATTCCGCCTATTAGTTCTGCTGTAGATATCTTAGCCTTATTCATTATTATATTTACAGGCTTTTAATTTCTTCATATGGACCGCATAAGAATGAATGTACACGCATGTCAGATAGGATAGTTTTAGCGCATGTTTCGATTTTAACTTCTACCTCATTTATAAACAATTTTTTTCAAATGTTTTTAATGCATTTTGTAAAACTTTCTATTATATATCATGTGGGGTTTATGTCGTCAATGTACTACTGCCGATATCAGTCAAGAAAAACCTTTCCAGGGGGCTACTTCAAACTTCCTCTAACTTCTACTTTGGCATACTCAATACTGGAGATCAGATAGCCAGTGAGAAAGAATACGCAAGAAGACACTTTGGTAGCCAACATACAACTCGAGAACCTATTGCCCAACAAACATACGATGAAAACTTGTGCGCAGTCATGAAGACAGCTGAAAAAATGAGACAGAAGTGAAATGAGTGGAATGACGACGTGTTCATACTACCCTATACTTAACTTAGAATCCAAGGGGTGATAATATGCTCAGTAGGTTTGATGATGTCAACTTCGAATGAGAAGTCTAAAAGAGCTTCTAATAAACCTCAGCATGAGTCAACCTTTTCATTTGATTGGGTTCTATCAGCGGGTTGATTTGATTGAGAAGCTTTCATTGTTCGCCTTCTAGACAACACCTTCAGCGCAAGCATTAATGTGAAGTCAACTTATTTGAATTCTCCATGAATGATGATATAATTGTATCTACTGGCAACCTCCTCATATGTGATTGATTGTTGTTAATTTACGTCTCTGTTGATCATTTTTATTGACTTGGAATTCGAACTTTCTTGTCATATGATTCATTTTTAAAATAGTTGGTAAATTTGATCTGTAGTAATGTGTGTTTTTTAATCACTGATTAATTTAAGCCTTAGACTTGTTAAAATTCTGTGACATTGTTGATATTTCCTCTGTTTTAGATTTCTACATAATCGCAAATTATCCTCACTTCTGGAACGTAGAATACGGGTGGTTGTGAAGAGACAATGCACATCTGCTGTCTAGTAAGTTCTTTTAACTGGCTTTCTCAGGCGCTGTGTTATTATTTCGCTGATGTTGTCACCGAGGAAATGCAATTTTATGAACATTGGTTTTTTTCGGAACTGTTGCTATACTGACTCTCCTAGGTGCTGAATTCATATTTTTCTCAATGAATTTATGTGGATAACCATTTTTTCTATATAATTCTCTAATAATCTTAAGCGCCCTATTGAGTCAGTCGTCTGAACAGATTAACCTGGCACTTTACCAGGTTACGTTTATATTTCAAAGGTACAAAACTCAAAAATGAGTGTACTGACTTGTTGTAGTAGGCTTCCTGTACACACTCCTTCTTAGTGTGCCATCTTCTTTCCATACCAGGAAGACGTCTTTTCTATGTGGATCTACTAGTTCGACTACAGCTGCGGAGCCAGCTACATTGGGCGTACAATTAGGCAGGTTCATTACATCTTATTTTCGACCATCATCCAGCATGGTTAAGCAAGGGACAAACAAGATCTTTTCGTAGCTCTATTTTAGCACACCTTGTAGACAGTGAGCATAAGGTTGACGTTAATACTGCATTTAAAATTATTTATCGCATTCCTACTAATCTTAATTTTGCTCTACGAGTTCGTCTTCTACATACAGCGGAAGCAATAGGAACTCACCTGAAGAGGCCAGCCAAACCTGTATGTTCAGAAGAAATTTGTACACCCACTTTCCTTGCCTTGGCTATCGTTACGTGAATGTATAAACCGGACTACTTCTCCCCCTCCCTCTAAACCTTTAAAATTATAAAAATTACAATTGTCCAAATTATTTTATTTTTTCAGACCACTTCATCTTTAATTACGTGTTATCCATATAAAATTAATTTATTCTAACCATTTCTATCTTTTAAAATTGTGTCCATTGATTTTCTTCGTTTATTATCAACCCATTGACATTTTGACACTGACTAATTATTGTTAACAAACATATCAGTGCCACTTGATTGTTAAACGGTTGCGTATTGTAACAAAAATGCTGTATATGTATTAGAGTAGAGCCAGAGATGAGGATCTAATTGAAAAGTAAATATTTCTTCGCTCAATCTTTCTGTTTTCTGAATGTCTAAATGGCGATTTTTTTTTCTATACTGAAATTCGTCTCCGTAGTTGTCTACATGCATCCATATGAAGTGGGAATACATATCGTGTCCTTTCATCACAGTTGATTTATATTCTTAGATTCCGACAATGAGGGGACGCCCACTTTGAACAATGTAGTGTATATCACAGTTCGTACAATTTATTTTGTAAATGGTATTGAGTTTATCTTCTTTTGTTGGTGAGTGGATATTTCCGTCTGCAAAATATCGTATGAAGTGACTGCATTGGTTGACTTGTGTGCTATGTCTTTCTCAAAACGTCTTAGTATTTTAGCGGTTATTCGAGGGGTATTCTTTACATACGGTAAAGTGAATTTTCTTGTGGTCTTTGTTGATGGTTTCTTGTTAGTATTACTACTTGAATTGAAACACCTTTAGATGAAATTGTATGTATAGTAGATATTTCCCTTCCATTCTCTTCAGCACCGGAGTTCTACAGTGTGTTTGAACTCTTTTAAACAATGTCTACAGACAGTTTGTTTTGAGAGGCATTGGGTTATTGCTATAATAGTTGAGTATTTGATCTCTGTCAGTGTGCAGATGTGTGCTGATTTTCTGTCTAACTGTGTTTCTAAATTTCCTTTGTTAATTCTATTGACTAAGACTTCTTGGAATAGAATCCTGTTACGTAATTCTTCTTTTCTCATGGAGTTTAACACTACGTCTTATCTCCCCTCCTAAAATCTTTGTAATTCTTAGCTTTCCTTTACTAGATTAGGACATTGATTTCATCCGTGATATATGAGAACAATCCTTTCACCAGAAAACTTCTGTGATAAATTATAATTCCTAAATTTATTTCTAAATACTTTGAATAATTTTACCCCGGTATTCATAAAATGAGAATACAGTGTAGGATAGGTAAAACCTGCGGTTACACAATGACTTGAAATTTCTCTTAACTTATAACTGCTCTTGTGCGCACCTATGAATACTGCAACGAACCACCACAGTATGTGCGGAAATACCCATGTTACGTAAATAAAAAAGGCACAGGTGAACAAAGAAAAGTGTTCCCGTAACCTCCCTTCAAGACTGCTAAAGTTATAGGCGATTTCCTGAACTTTTACAACATTGTAGAATAGTACAACTTTGAAATGAAGTCATATGAACAACCTTAATGTATCACTGGTCACTCGAACGGTACTGAGAGTATTGGGAGATTAGGCATTGTTGAATTCGAGACACATTAACTTAAATGAACGCAACTTTTAGAACGATATTAAACATTTCGGGTTTCAAGCTCTGCAAGCAACTTTTCGATACTATGAGTAAGGACAACGTTTCACAATGAGAAAAGATGGCTATTGAGTGCTAATTAGTTTGTAGGACTTCTCCCAGGTAATGTCGGTTCTTAGCTAAAATTTAAAGCGGTTGTATTGAAGTTTCTGACATTAACAAGTGGATAGAATACTGAGAAAATAAATCGATATATTAATATCACTATAAGTTTTATCCATCTTTTAGTGTCCCGAGTGGTTTCAAGCTGCTAGAAATTTTAGTAACCTGGCGAGTTTGCTAGACTTACACCCTACTTTTCCACTTTTACAGGGTCATTATCAGCTAGTCATCGTTGCTGGTTTTACCACTGCATCAGCCAGGAATCGAACCCCAGACCATTTGTGGCAAATTTGGCGAGCATTTTATCACTGAACCACCCAAAATGATCATATGAAATCAAGATGTGCTGACTACATTCATTAGGGGAAAATGGACGAGATTGTAGAATTGATAAGGTCATATTTTCATACTTTCGAAATAAGTGGTAACTTCAAACTGTTCAATTTTCAGGTATTCGTACTCAAGTCTATGAAAAAATCAAAGAAAAATGTTGAGGCAAGTTCTACGTTTCGCTGCTGGTGCTATTCAAACATAGTTTTTACAATAACTTGGAGCATCTTATGCAACAGGCTAAGTCTAGTCAATATCAATGATGGGAAACACTGTAGATGTATTGATTTTAATAATTACGGACTACTCGGTCTAAACTGTTATTGGTCAGTCAGTTAATCACGTGGACAGCCTACTTAATATCAGTGGGAATTTGATTGGTAGATAAACATTTTAATTCTGATTGGTAGATCCACACTACATTTTTCTTATATAAAAAGCATTGTTAGGCGTCTACTATTCTGTTTTAAAACCTTAACACGTAGGTGTGTTTACCGGAGTACCATCCATTGTGTCATGTTGTTGTTTAATTAATTAAATTTGGACGAGTATCCATTGTAAAAAAAGGAAGTCATTTGGAAGTAGTTCGCTCATATTTTGTTTGAGCATAACAATGAATCATCAATAGAAATGATAATGGAATATCACATTGCATATAATCCATTAATGGATAATGGATGTTACGCATTAGAGAAATTCTCTTTCATTCCTCATGATGAAGTAAAAATTCAGGAGCAACAACAAGAGCTAACTGGATACCATGACGACGACAACAACAACAACATCAACGTTGGAGCGAATAAACAATCGACTCCATTGAATCAACCATCTTTAATGTGGCTTGATGACACTTTGGATACAGACATTCTACCTCCTCTTTCTAGAATTAGTGGTCTATCCTCTAGTAGTATGCATCTAATAGCATCTAATGATGTTGATTCACCAAATGATGATTCTACATGGAGTACATGGTTAAAGACATGTTCATCTCAATCACCAGCTACAGATAGAAAGGCGATTCGATTTACTGGACAACTATCAGATGCTGATTTTTCTATACATCATCAAGAACCAGATTATGCACATCACAGACATTACTCACATCATCATCATCATTATCATCATTACCAACAACAGCAACATCAAAGTGCAGAAAAGCAGAATACTTCGTTGAATGAAGAAGATTGTATGAAAGAGGAGGAACACCGGGAACAACACCAGCAGCGCCCCCACCACCACCACCAACAACAAGAAAAATCATTCAATGGTACTGAAATGAAAGATAAAATGAATTCATTAGAAAGTGATAATGAAAATCTTCCACATTTTCGTCATAAATATCCTAGTCATTATTACCATCATCATCATTATTATCATCATCACCATCATCACCACCATCATCACCATCATCATTTTCATGCAAGTCAACAATCCTGTACAACAAATCAAAATTCTCTCCCGAATGATAACAATAATAGTAATAATAATAATAATCACTTACAAGAAAGTTGTAAAAAGTGTCGATCCTTCATGTCAAAGCAACACTCTTCGCCAGGGGAAACCAATGGCGATTTAAATAATAACGATAATAGTGATGATAACGCCTTTTTAAATACTATAAATCATTTAGAAAGAATGTTCAACTTAGAATTCAGTGATATCTGGTATGCTTCGCATAATCGTGTTATTCAATGGTTGAGTGCTGTTCAAAATACTACTACTGATACTACTACTGTACAGAATTTAGATGAATAGTTAGTTGTCCCTGTTTGTTTTTCATTGTTTTGTTTTGTTTTTTAATTTTAAATTTTGATTTTCTTCTCTATTTGATAAGTATAGTAATTATTTATTATTATTTTTTCTTGTTTGAATTGTTTAAACAACCCCTGATAGACATTATTATTATTATTATTATTATTAGTAGTAGTAGTAGCTAGTGATGAGGAGATGTAATGAGAAGGCCAGGGGACGGTTGTATTCCCCACCCCCCACCCCACCCCCTATATGCATAAAAAACACCTTAGTTCTATCTAATTCTCAAATTCTTAGATTTTACTCAAATTTTATTTATAGGGTTGGTTTTTTGGGAAGGGGGTGGGTTTTCTTATTTCCTTTGGATGGATAACAATATTGATTATGTTGTATTAATGCACGTTTTTGGCACATACATACATTGAAGCCCCGGGACGGAGAAAAAAGAGCCACCACTAATAAATAGTTTATGTTTCAAATTATATATTCACTTTTTCTAACCAGTTGTGCATAGTTTTTTTTTAAAATCATGATCGTTTATGTCTTCCATCACAGTGTAGTTACGATAAATAAATAAATAAATAATCAACAGGTTTTGCGTGCTTAATTTGATAGTGTATGTACTTTGATAATAAACTGTAATTAAATCGAATTACCCTCGCAAATTTATCTATTTATTTATTTACTATTATTATTATAATTATTCCTGTTCTCCTTCGGATGTTTCTGTACATATATATTTGTGAAAGTGAACTAGGCGTTGTTAGATTACGCTTTGTTTGATACTATCATACTATGTAAATATTATTTATAATATATATGTATACGCGTATAATGATGATGATGATGATGAATAAACTTTACAGAATTTTATTCATATATAAACTTGTTTTTTTGTTCATGTGATCATTAATTAATTAATTAATACTGTATTGATGAAATATTATTGTATTGATTGGAGCAAATAATAATAATAATAATTTTGACTCTTTGATTGAACTATTTCATTATAAGTGTAGGCTTTGGATGCCTGAATTGCGATTTCAATTATCTACTATCATCATTTTTGGTAGATGGTGACTAGCAGTGAAAATCCAGTCAAGATACCTTCATTCCAGTTGACGAGCCCCAAATAGGACGAAATGTACATCTTGGTTGGATTCTACTGCTAGTCACTATTCACCAGTTAACTTCTAGTTACATAACCAGATATCGTCGAAGTGTCTGCACAAGGAGCTGACTTGTCAACCTGAGACTGAGCATTTCGGTCCAATCAATCGATGGGGAAATCTGAAATTGAATTAAATCTATCCTCATTGTTTGTAAAAAGCTCGATAGTGAATTTATTTGTTGGGAATAATGTGTGCATGTAGAGAGTATTGGTGATGTGTATTTTAAACTAGGATACATAAGAGATACATATAAGCTGTGGCACAGCTAGAAGCAACCTCATCATATCTGTCGCTTGACCACTCGATAAATAGATCAGCTGATGAGAAATGACAAAAAACAACGGTGAGACAGCAGTATAAGTCCCTTATTTTTTAATGGCTTGAGATAATCTTAGATGTAGGACTTCATTAGTCACGTCTCCACGGAATGTCGGTTTCAGGACCTTAACAATGAGAATATTTAATTGGTGGATGGTGACTAGCAATGGAATCCAGCCAAGATGCGCATTTCGTCCTGTTTGGGACTCGTCGTCTGGATTCGCATTACATGCCCAGACATCGTCGAAGCATATGCACAAGAAGCCGACATGTCAACCTGAGACTGAGCACTTCGGTCTAATCAATCGATGGGAAAATCTAAAATTCAATTAAATGAGAATATTTGGTGACTCATATTACGAATTTCTAAGCTTTGTTTAGTCTACAGAAGGCATGAAATTCAATCAGACAATTAGAGATGGATTATTTCTAACACCCAGGGTAATGGTAACAACTAGGATATATAGTTATAATTTCTTAAATGAAGAAATCGTGTGTATATTATATGTAAACGAAGTAAAATAATTATTATAGCTTAATTTATGGACTTAGGGTAAGTAAAATCGATGGCTATTTTCCCTTTCTTGTCGGTAAATTTTCTTGTTTTCGTCAACACCAGGGAGCGTGGGAGGGGGGGAGGTACTTGTGCAGCAGGTGTCTATGGAATGCAGAAACTTGAAATTATTGACTACATTGAGTTTTCAGGTATATGTAACATTCAGTGGTGAAATTAAATAGAATAGAGATACGCCCAATTTTGTACACACACACACACACACACATAGAAACATGTAAACTTGATCTGTTTTAAAGTAGCGGGAAATCTAAATTCATGGATAATCTCCATTCAGACATTAATGAAAATAAAACACGTAGTATTCAGTGGAGAGGCCCTTTAGGGGCGAAATCCTTTTCCTCTTTACCTTTACAATCGCATTTGCATACACTCTCTTTTTCATGAAATATGATAGTAACAAAAGCGATGAATGGACACAGTTATAGTTCTTATTATTGTTTCCTTTAATTCCTAGGGGAAAATACAGCTTCAGCCACACGTCTCTATTGCGTTCGGTTCTCTACCAACGTTTCCATCACCTGGTTCCACATGCTTTCATCTCATCTTCTCTGCATGACCTCATCCTCCATGTCACTCTCGCACTGACGACCAACTCACCGCTTCCCATTCGGTCTAGGTCCACTTAAGCGATGGCCTGGTGTGTGATGTCACTCACTTGGTGGTTTTTTTCTCAGAGTATGGCCAATCCACCTCCATTCCTTCTAAAATATTTATTGCACAATTAGTTCGTGCTAGATTGGTTCGCTCATTGCCAGAGATCCCTATTGCTGTTCTTTTCTGGCCAGCCATCCGATCTTGAGTAGTATTGAACGAAGACAGATGTTGATGAGAGTCTGTAGTTTGTTTGAGGTAGCCTTCGTGATGTGACGTGGCGCCAAGTCTCTGATCCGTATAGTGAGTAGCACTGATTTCACATTGGAGTTGAAAATTCGGATCTTATTTTACATGCTGAGTAGTGTTGCTGATCTCCACGCAGATCTGAGAGTAATGAAAGCTTGCCTGGCTTTCCCGACCCTCGCTGCTTTGATATCCTCATCAGTTTCGTCCGCCTGTAGGTAGGTAAAGGAGGTTGCTTCTTTCAAATTTCTCCAATTTATGCTGATTGGTGTCTGTTAATGTTGCCCATGAGCCTTCATCACCTCTGTTTTCTCTATGTTCACCTGAATAAGTAAGAGTAATTGAATAAGTGTACCTTAGATACGTAATAAGGTGAATAATTTAATGAATGAGCTGTGCGTCATGGTTACAACTAATTCAATGAATTATTTATTCTATTACGTAACTCTAACACCTTTTTAGTCAACTCTCCTTTTATATTGATTGATATGATTGTGACAGCTCAACATTTTTGTTATTACCCTCCTCCCAAAAAATATTTTTATAAATGTGATGAAAGAGAAAAATGAATTCGCCCTCAAAGAACCTCTTCGCTGAATACTACGTGTTATGCTTTCAACAAAAGATAAATTGACTGAAGGTTGAAAAGTGTATGCTATGAGAGAGTACGCTATTTAGACTGGGGTCAGTAGTAATGTACTGATATTTTGGATAAAACACAGAGTCAGTATGTTTCATGGACAATATCATTATTTCCTTTAATTCCTAGAGGAACATGGGGCTTCAGCTGCGCGTCTCCATTGCCCTCGGATTTCTGCCAACTTTTTCACTCCGCTCCAAGTCTGCCCACATGCTTTCATCTCCTCTTCTCGTCATTACCTCCTCCAAGTCAACCTTTCACTGACGACCAACTCACCGCTTCTCTTTCGGGCTCCACTCGAGCAATGGCTTGTCTAGTGATGTCACTCACTTGGTGGTTTCCTCAGAGTATGGCCAATCCAATCCACCTCCATTTCTTCCTGCCTATTTGTTGCACAGTTGGTTCCTGGTTGGTTGGTTCATTCGTTGCCGGAGATCCCTGTTGCTGATCTTTTCTGGACGGCCATCTGATCTTGAGTAGTATTGAGCGAAGACAGCTAGCTGTTGATGAAGATCTGTAGTTTGTTTGAGGTGCTCTTCATGACGCGCCAAATCTCTGATCCGTATAGTGAGTAGCACTGAATGACTTCAAATTGGAGTTGAAAATCCGGATCTTATTTTCATTTTCATGCTGAGTGCTGTTGACCTCCACACAGACTTCAGAGTAATGAAAGCCTACCTGGCTTTCCTGATCCTCGCTGCTTTGATATCCCTGTCAGTTCCTTCGGCCTGTAGTTGAAACGATGTTTCCCAGGTAGGTAAATGAAGTTACTTCTTTCAGATTCCTCCCATTTATGCTGGTTGATAGCTGTCTGTTGTTGCTGGTGTTGGCCACGAATCGTCACCAACTACCTCTGATTTCTCTATGTTCACCTGAAGTCGTATCTTCTCTGGATGCTTCTTCTATCGCCAGCTTGTTGCTTTTCACTTGCACATCTTCCAGTTTGTGGGAAATCAGACATACATCACCGGCGAAGTCGAGATCCCCCAAGTTTGTTTTTGTGTGGGTATATTTTATGCCTGTTTCCTCACTGACCGCTAACTGTGTGTCGCATTATCCGATCTACTGCAATCGGGAAATCACTGGCGATAGTAGGCAGCCTTGTTTTACTCCCGTCTTCCCTTCGAAGGCTTCCGTGAGTTTCCCGTTGTGGATTACTTGGCATGCAGCATTGTCCTACAACTGTTGGATGAGATGTATAATTGTCGATGGCACCCGTTGATAGTAGCGAAGTAGTTGCCAAATGATCTCTCGATCACCGCTGCGCTATGGAAGGCCTTTTCAAAGTCGATGAAGTTGAGATAGAGAGGTGACTGACTGCCATTCCAAGCTTTGTTCAATGATGATCCGTAGTGTGGTGATTTGATCAATACATGACTTGTTTCTCCTGAATCCAGCTTGTTCCGGTTGAAGTTTTTCATCCAGGTTGGCGTGTTTGATTCTCTCCAGAATGATGCGGCTTAGTGTATTACTATATACATATACTAACTGCGAGCTATTTTCCCGAAAATCTCTAGTCACTATCGTTTTATTACTTATGAATCACTCCTAGGCAGAGGTGATTTACGCCCCCATTTTAATCCTAATCACCTGTGTAACTTTATCCGAACCGAACTTCATTTTTACTTAAGGAAATATATGATTCATCGAAGAAGGAAGTAGTTCGATATGTGTAACATGTATATCTTAGCCATCTTAGCCAATTCAATAAGGCTGTTAAATAAAAAGACAGCTGCAGAGAAGAAAATTTTCTTTTCGACGAAGTCATCAATTAGGCTGTACATTCCTTTTTATATACATGTGTGGAATTGATTAGATATTCGAATAAAAATCAAAATAGGATAATGTACATTCAGAATTATTAATATGAGTATTATCGATCAATTACAGTCAGATGGTTTGACAATCTGGTTTGACCAGTCAAACCAGAAGAGGATAATAAAATAATCTTAAATTTCTATTTCGATTCAAGCACATTACAACATTCTAACAAGTTACTTACTTATTTTGACTATAAAAACACTCGTCTTATTTCCCATCTGATTGTAATTAATGCATAACACTCATATTAATAATTCTGAATGTACATTATCACATATTGATTTTTATTCAAATATCTAATCGATTCCACACATGTATATAAATGAAGGAAAAAAGTTGTGTGAGTGAGTGTCTTGATGTGATTATGAGTGGCAACAGTTTGTTCTCGAAACGTTTTCATCGGTTAATATTATTGTATAACACCACTGTGTGATTTATCAGAATAAAATCTTGTCCATAATGGAGTTATACTCTACCATCACAGTGCCCAAGTTTTATACTTATAGACTGTACATTCGTGTACGTATAATAAATGGGCGGGAAAGTTCCAGAATAATTTCCGGTCAAGGGGCAAATTAATAAAATTACAATTAGGAATAAAGTGCGATAATAAACAAGGGGGAGGGTGGCGGGACGGATAAAGTTCAGACAAAGTAGCATCCTAATTACTGAGAAGATTAACATTGATTGTACAGTTAGGGGTTAGAAATGTAGAAATAACAAAATAGATAGACAGGATGTTTGGATAAAAAAT